CTTAAAGTTTGAACTTTCTTTCCTAAAGTGGTGAAAGTCCTATTTCTTTAGGTTTCTTAGGGCCGTTTCATAATCCAATTAAAGGGACTTTAAAATTAATGTTGTTTTGGAATGTGAAATTTTTGTCAACAAGTCCCTAGTAATCAACACATTCTAAACTTTTAATTTAAATACAATTATGAAACTGGCCCTTAGTCTTTGTGAAATAAATTTTGAAAAATAGTGTTTTCATTAAAAGAAAATCAAAATAATTCAAAAACTAAATAAATTGACCAATAAAAGTATCAATTTTACAAGATATATCCAAAAATGCAATAAAATACAGGATATTACATTTAAAAAAACATAAGTTTGTATTGTAACTCATTTTATAAACACATGAAAATAATTTCAATCGATGCAATGGATTAGTACCTAGGGCCTTTGTAAAAAAATAATTTTTCAACATTCAAGGTCAGTAATGGACTTTGACAAACTCGCTGAGACACCCTGTATACGAAGTTTGCATCTTTTGAGTACTTTATTTCAAAGTTTACATTGCTATAACTTGAAATATGTAAAAAAAAATTCATGTTATCTTCACCAAAAAAAAATAAATTATAATAATACCAACTTTTTACTTTTTATTACAAATTTCTTGTAGATGTTTTTGCTGCTTTTTCCTTTTTTTTTAAAAAACAGTGTAATATACAGGTGCGCCAGAACTCGCGCCCCAGAGAAAAATGCCAGGAACATGGAAAAAATGTTAAAAAAATTCTATCTAAAAATTTTGAAGTTATAAGAATTTAAATTTTGCTCTTTGACTCTATTTATTTCTATTGAAAAAATAGTTTTCCAAGTTTTTTTGTTACAGGCTATTAGAAGAGGAGACCAGGAAGCTCTATCCTAAATTGTAACCCTTTTTAATGTTATTTGCGGCTTTTATTGGCATTTTTTTTTACTTTTACTAAATAATTATAAAAAAACATATACAACATCATCAGTATTATTAAATAGACATGAAAAAATGTCAAATGTTAAAAAATAAATGTCAAAATTTTTTGACAGATAGAATTTTTTTAAAAAAATTTTCATGTTCCTGGTATCTTATCTTACTTAAGTTTTTTCTCTGGGGCGCGAGTTCTGGGGCACCCTGTATTTTCAAGAACTAACAAAAATTAACTTCTTGTGACATAAAATATTTAAATAGACATAAATTCTTACAGTAAACAAAAATTTAATGTAGATTTATATAGATTTTATTCATGTGCCTCCGGTGTGACCAAAAAAAAATATTTTATTAAAGATTGAAAATTACATTGATTTCTATTAGTAAATGCTCGGGACCAGTCAATTACTTGGACTTATCGAAATTTCGAGATATAGAAGTTCGATTTATCGAGGTTTTACTGTATATCTCAGAAACTACACATTCAACTTGAGTTATTTTCGCATCTTTTGTCCTTTACTATACCCTCTTAAAATTTTTGCACAAATTTTAAAATCACCCTGTATATTATTAGAGTTGTAGAAAAAATGGTACTTGTGTTAAATGCGAAAATATGCCTTTTTAAGCACTTATTTTAAGTACTACATCAAGGAATTTCATCACTTTTTTGTAAATTTTTGTGTGCATTAAAACTTAAATTATTGAGATTTTTGTTAACTATTATATTAACAAAGTGAACAAAAAGTATGGAACTAAGTGGTTTTTTAATCATTTGCATTAAAAAAATAATAGTTAATAAAAATTAATGTGTGGAGTTATACGTTTTTTTTTTAATTTCTAAACATGATTTTTTTTTTCGATAAAAATTTAATAAAATGTAGGTAGTTGTAATACATAGACAAAAACGAAAACAAACGAAACATTTTATTTTTGAGAAACGTTATATTTTTATAGTACTTTTATTATTCATCAATAAGTTTAAAAAAATAAATAAATAAATAGTTTAAGCAAAAAACGTTTGATTCCCTACTTTCTGTTCATGTCGAAGGGCTTTTTGGGGTTCTTGGGTAAGAAATTCATCCCCATTGCGAAGTTCTCGGCTTGAAAGCAGCAGCGCCCTGCTTTCATTCATTTGAAATGTCCCGAATTGTGGATTCAGCTTCACAAAACAAGAAAATTCATCACGAACAATAGACTTCCTGTTCAAACATCTGAAGAAACTCAATTATAATTCCATACAATTGTCAGGCTATTTACTCTTGTTTTAAACACATCGACTCAAACACGCCAAAAATTCTCCTCCAAACTTTCCTCAAACTGTAACGACTTGGAACACTTGTAAAAAGAACGATAAATAATTTTCGGGTGCCCCGTTTCACGATTAAATTAGGCACGAAATTTACTTTCGGTCAGTGATACCAACCCGACGTAAGATCAAAGCGTTTTTCCCTCTGTAAGCGACATTTATGTGATTGAGTGAGTCCGAGAGAGTGAGTCGAATTTATTGAAAACGGAGGGTCGAATATTACTACTGCGCGGTTTTCATTCGAGAAGTTGTCAAGATACCAAGTTTCACTTCCTGAAATTTGATCAATTCAACTTGCGGTTTTGAGTATGACGAAGGGTTTAATTGACAAGTGGATTTTATAAACGCTTTGAGTGGCTTTCATGGCGTTCAAACTGAAAAGTACTCAAAAAATGAACCTGAAATTTTTCAGTAAAAATTGTTCTTAAAGAATTTTATTTTATAAAAATCTAGTAAAAGATACTAAAACGAAAAAATACAACATTTGTCCCTTTTTTTTCTCTTCTCTCATTTTTCATATCTCCTGTCTTCTTTCTTTCTCTCTCTCCTTATCTTTTCTTTTTTCATTCTCTCAAAATAAATTTCGTAAAAAAACCTATTCAAAAGAAATTTGAGTAAAACCTAGAAAAGAATAAGGCAAAAAATACAAGGTTTTTCTTTTTTTTTTTCTTTTTTTTTCCTCTTCTCCTTTCTTCTCTCAGCTGTCTCTGTGCTCTCCTTATTTTTTCTTCTCTCTTATCTTACAAAATAAATTTTGTAATAAAAAATATCCTAAGGAAATTTGAGTAAAATAAAAAAAGACAAAATTCTCTCTTCTTTTTTCTTCTCTCTTGTTTTCTCATTCTCTCTTTCGTTTTCTCTCTTCTTTCGTCTCTCTCTTGACTGCCTATTCCTGCTTCTTTCTTTCTGTTTCGTTATATTTGGGGAACAAAAAAGCATTTTATTACTCAGTGTAATTAAATCAGAATAATAGACAAGAGGAAAAAATCAGAAAAGAGCAATTCGGATAAAAATAGACAAAAACATTAAAATAATTAAAAAGTAAAAAATTATTATTTTTCAATAAGAAATGCATTAAATTTTTAAAAAATTATAACGAAAAGGAACAAAATTAGAAAATAGAAGAAGTATACGTAAAGAAGAGAGATGAAAAAACAAAAAGACTGTTAACAACATACCTAAATTTAACATGAAAAAATGAAATTGGAATAAGACAGAAAAAGAAGAGAGAAAAAATAAAAATTGTTCTCCTCCTTTTTCTTTTTCTTTTCTCTCATTTTCTATTTCTGCTGTCTTCTTTGTTTTTCTATCTTTATCTTTTTTTTTTCATTCTCAAAATAAATTTCGTAATAAAAACTATTCTATAGAAATTTGAGTAAAACCTAGAAAAAAAAAAAGGATAATAAAACAAAAAAAATACGGTTTTTATTCTCTTCTCTTTTCCTTTTTTTACTTTCTTCTATTATCTTCTCTCTGCTGTTCTCTGTGCTCTCCTTATCGTTTCTTCTCTCTTATCTTACAAAATAAATTTTATAACAAAAAATATCCTAAGGAAATTTGAGGGTTTTTCTTTTTTTAATTTTCTCTTCCGTTTTCTCTCTTGTTTCGTCTCGCTCTTTATTGACTGCCTATCCTTGCTTCTTTCTATTTCGTTATATTTAGGGATCAAAAAAGCATTTTATTAAATCAGAATAATAGACAAGAGGAAAAAATCAGAAAAGTGCAATTCGGATAAAAATAGACAAAATTATTAAAAAGTACAATGGCGAGCATAAAATTTTGGTAGGTAATGTCATTTTGAAACTTCATATTTTTGTCAAAAAAAGTAGTTTCTTTGTGTAATTTTGACAAAAAGGTATTTTTGGGAATGACATTGACTACTAAAATTTAATGCTCGCCATTGTACATAAAAAATTAATCTTAAATTTCAAAAAAATTATAACGAAAAACGACAATATAAGGAAAGAGGAGAGATAAAAAATGAAAGACAAAAAAAAGAAGAAAGAAAGAATACAAAAAAAGACGAAAAAATACAAATTTTTCTCTTCTTTCATTTTCTTCGTCTCTTCTCTGCTCATTTCCACTTTTTTTTATTTCATTATATTTCGTAATATAATTCTCAGTGTAATTAAATCAAAATAATAGGAACAAGAGAAAAACTATAGAAAATTGCGATTCAGGTAAGAATAGACGAACAAAAAAAAAGAAAATAATTGAAAAGTACTTAAAAAATGAATCTGAAATTTTTCAGTAAAATTATTCTTAAAGGATTTTATTTAATAAAACCAATAAAAGGAAGATAAAAACGAAAATGCAAGAGAAAAAAAAATCATAGCACTATTAACAATATACCTAGATTTAGAACATGAATTCGAATCAAAAAATCAAACAGAAGAAAAAACTAGGAATTATGCTTTGAAAGAACAATTTTTTCCTGAAATCGTCCATTCTGTAATATATCACTAATTGAAATAGTCTGTAAAATTGACAAAATAATCCGTAAATTGTTCCAAGTTGATCAATTCAAGTTGCAATTTAATTGACAAGTGAATTTTATGATCGTTTCGAGTGGCTTTCACGTCGTAAAAATCGTGTTTCAGGGGTGATGAACATTAATTAAGGCGAAGGCAATGCGCCGAAACCAAAGTCAACAAACAATAACTTGAGATAATATTTAGGTACGCTCGAGGAGCGTAATAAACTCATTATCAAATTGGTTTCAGGTGAAATTAAGTTATAAACAGAGATATGTAATTTTTTTTTCAGAATGCTTCAGCTCAAGCTGCCCTACAGGCCGCCCAAGCTTTGACAAGTACCCAAAACTCGATAACGCCCACTTCAACTCCTGCCACACCTGTCACCAATGGACAAGACATCCAAGGAGGACCTAACACGGTGTTGCGAGTCATCATCGAACACATGATATATCCCATAAGTCTAGATATTTTGCATTTGGTAAACGCTAAATCACCAAATTAACAAACTGGATCTCATTTTTTTTCATGTTTTTACAGATATTCCAACGTTTCGGAAAAGTTCTCAAAATCGTCACCTTCACCAAAAATAGTAAGTACATTTTTATATTATAGTCTTTGTCTTAAATTAATTTTATTCAACTCAGTCAAAAGATTGAAAAAATGAAATAATTTTAAAAAAGTAGAACAGGAAAGGTGAGAAAATATTACCAAAACAAAATAGTGCGCAAATTTAGACATTTAACATGAAAGAAATAAAAGACATTTCAGTTAAATTTTTCAGAAATTATACAGTTAAACAAAGTTAAAAAGAAAAAATAGCGAGTAATCACTCATCATAAGTAAAAAAAATATTTTGTAAACATATAGGTAAGAAGCGATGAAAAATGTGAAATGTTGTAATAGAAAATAATCTAAAGAAAATTAATAATACCTAAAAAAGGATAATAAAACGAAAAAATACAATAATTTTCCCTTTGTTTCCTGCATCTCTTTTTCCTCTCCTTTTTTCTTCAATCTTCTTCTCTCTCTGCTGTTCTCTCTTCTTTTTTCCTTATCTTTTGTTTTCTTCTTTCTCTCGGAAAATAAATTTCGTAATAAAAAAATTTCTAAAGGAATTTTCGAAAACCTAGTAAAAGATACTAAAATAAAAAATATACAAAATTTGTTCTTTTTTTCTCTTCATCCATTTTTCCTCTTCTCCTGTCTTCTATCTTCTTATATTAATTAAGAGATGTTTGTCCTCTTTCTCTCTCTTAAAATAAATTTCATAATAAAAACGTTCCAAATGAATTTGAGTAAAACCTAAAAAAAATAATAAAACAAAAGAATACTAAATTTTTCTTTTTTTCTGTTCTTTTTTCTCTCTTCTTTCTTCTCTCTCCTGTCTGTTATTACTCAGTATAACTAAATCAGAATAATAGAGAAGAGGAAAAAACTATAGAAAATTGCGATTCGGATAAAAATAGACAAAAAAATAAAATAATTGAAAAAAATGATTCTTAAATTTTTCATTCATCAGTAAGGGGAAGATAAAGACGAAAAAGTACAAAATTAGAAAAAAGAAGAGAGAAAAAATGAAGACTGTTAACAATAAAAACATGGAAATTTTTTGAATAAAACAGGTAAAAGCAGAAAGAACTTTAAACTGAGAAAAACGAAAAAAGATGATTTTTTCTCTTTTTTTCCTTCTCTACTTTTTTTCCTCTCTTATTTTTTCGAAGTTAATAATGAAAAAGGTCAAAATAAAAAAAGGAGAGAGATCAAAATTGAAAAGGCTAAAGAAGAAAAAAACTATAAGTTATGCTTTGAAAGAATTTTTCCTGAAATCTTCCGTAAAGCTGACAAGATAGTCCGTAAAGTAGTGCTTGAGGTGTAATGTTGATTGCAGTTTGCTTAAATTAAAAAAATGTCAATCGAAACTTTTTTAAAACATCGTATTGCAAAAAACAATAGGGGAGACTAAGGAAGTGTTTAGAAATACCGATTTAAACAATATCTAAATTTGCTAAAAAAAACGTTTAAAAATTTCTCAAATAGAAATATTTAATTTAAAAAATGTCAATAGAGACTTTTCAAAACGTTGTGCTACAAAAGACAGTTGAGGAGACTAAGAAAGTGTCAAATGTACCGGCTTAAAAAATTTCTAGACTTGCAAAAAACCATGTAAAAATTCCCTAAGAAATGCTTGAATTTAAAAAAATATCAGCGGCTTTGCCGCTCGCCCCCTTCTAAACCACGCACTTTCAGATTTTGACAAAATTTATAGGGTTTAAAAAATTTAAAAAAAAAATGAAATCAATAAATTCTACAAACAAAATTATTCTGACAAAAGTTTAAACAAAAATTAGAAAATAAAATGAAAAAAGACAAAGCAGAAAAGAAAAATCATAAAAACAAAGAAAAATGTCTGTAATGTGTAGATTTTTTTACTATTGTAGACTATCAGATTTTGTCAAAATTTATAGGGTTAAAAAAATTTAAAAAAAAATGAAAACAATAAATTCTACAAACAAAATTATCCTGACAGAAGTTTAAACAAAAATTAGAAAACAAAATGAAAAAAGACAAAGCAGAAAAGAAAAATCATAAAAACAAAGAAAAAATGTCTGTAATGTGTGGATTTTTTTTACTATTGTAGACTATCAGATTTTGACAAAATTTATAGGGTTTAAAAAAAAAAAAACAATAAATTCTACAAACAAAATTATTCTGACAGAAGTTTAAAAAAAAATTAGAAAATAAAATGAAAAGAGACAAAGCAGAAAAGAAAAATCATAAAAACAAAGAAAAAATGTTTGTAATGTGTGGATTTTTTACTATTGTAGACTATCAGATTTTGTCAAAATTTATAGGGTTAAAAAAATTAAAAAAAAAATGAAAACTAAATTCTACAAACAAAATTATCCTGACAGAATTTTAAACAAAAATTAGAAAACAAAATGAAAAAAGACAAAGCAGAAAAGAAAAATCATAAAAACAAAGAAACAATGTTTGTAATGTGTGGATTTTTTTACTGTTGTAGATTATCAGATTTTGTCAAAATTTATAAGGGGGGGGGGCTGGCGGCTTTGCCGCTCGCCCCCTTCTAAACCACACACTTTCAGATTTTGACAAAATTTATGGGGTTAAAAAATAAAAAAAAAATATGAAAACAATAAATTCTACAAACAAAATTATTCTGACAGAAGTTTAAACAAAAATTAGAAAACAAAATGAAAAAAGACAAGTGAATTTTTTGTAAAATGTTGCGTTTTTGCAGACTCATTCCAGGCGCTGATCCAGTACCCCGACACGGCGTCGGCCCAATCGGCCAAACAGGCCCTCGACGGCCAAAACATCTACAACAGCTGTTGCACGTTACGCATCGACTACTCGAAGATGTCATCGTTGAACGTCAAATACAACAACGACAAATCGCGCGATTACACAAACCCCAATCTACCCACCGGCGACGCCAACGACCAACTCGCGACGCTCGGCGGCGGTCTCGCCGGCGGCTTGGGGGCCGACATCCTCCTGTTGGCGGCACAGCCGCGACTGGCCCGCGAACGCATGGCCGACTCGATCCTAGCGGGAACTCCTGGTGTTCTAAGTGGGCCCTTCATGCACGGTCTGGCGTCGACGCTAGCGACGCCCTATGGAGGCGGCGTCGCCGGCGGCATCCCGGGACTTGGAGGATTCGCATTGGGACAAACGGCGCCCGGATTGAGGGGCATCGCGGCGCCGGGATTGGCACTCGCAACCGTCTTACTCGTTAGTAATTTAAACGAAGAGGTCAGTAAACGAAGGGGGTTGGAGGGGGAGGGTGTACAGTTCACCGTTCATTAATATCATGAGGTTTTGACTAATCTTTAATTAATTTTTTTTTTTCGACTAATATCGAGTGAACTGTACGTGGTTTTGTTTGTTTTGTCTCTTGTTTTTATTGGAAAAAAATATTTCGAGCGTTGGCTCAGAGAACTGGCATTTTTTTAACAAAAAATAAAGGGTTTTAATTTTTTTGCCAACTGTGTTACCAAATTTTTTCGGAAGGTATTGAAATGTTGACAACAGAGACGTAAAAAGTGAACAGTTTTTTTTCTTTTTTGACTATTGTGTAACCAAATTTTGCTGCATGTTGTCAAAACTTAAATAAAATTGTTATTTAGACTTTAGAAATTGGCCTTGAAGAAAATGTCAAAATATGGAAAATAAACTTATTTATAGGTCAGGTCAGGTCAGACTAAGAAATTATTCTAAAATCTTGATATCTTAATGCTAGAGTTTCTACGGGTTATAAAAAAAAAAAAAAAATAAGTTAGATTTTGCATAATTATGTAATTTTTAACTAACCTTATACTTTTTAGCCAACAGTGTGACCAAATTAAAAATTATTTCCATTGTTGGCTTAGAAAACTAACATTTTTCTTAACAAAAAAAAAAAGGATTTCAAATTTTTTGCCAACTATGTTACCAAATTTTTCACAAGGTATTGAAATGAAAGGTGTAAAAAGTGAACAGGATTTTTGTTTTTTTGACTGTTGGGGAACCAAATTTTGCTAGATGTTGACAGAATTATAAAAAAAAAAGTTATTTAGAATTAAAGAAATTAGCCTTGAAGAATAATGATATTCAAATAAAATGTCAAAATATGAAAAATAAACTTATTTATAAGTCAGGTCAGACTCTAAGAAATTATTCTAAAATTTTGAAATCTTGACGCCAAAGTGTAAGAAAACTTCCTAGGGGTTACAAAAAAAAATTGGGTTAGATTTTGCATAATTATGTAATTTTTCACTTACTTTATACTTTTTAGCCAACAGTGTAAAAAATTTATTTCAATTGTCGGCTCAGAAAACTGACATTTTCCTTAACAACAAAAAAGAATTTAATTTTTTTAGCCAACTGTGTTACCAAATTTTCTCATCCAGTGTTAAAAAACGCAAAAAATGAACAATGTTTTTTTTACCTACTGTGGAGTCGAGTTTTACTACATGTTACATCAAAATTTTAAAAACGACGCTAAGATTTCAGAAAATATTCTACAAGTTAAGAAACTATGAAAACAAAAAATTGGATTAGGTTTTGCAAAATTATGTTAATAGTTTGAAAAAAGATAATGCAAAGATTTGAGAACACGTAGAATTGCCCCAAAAATTTTTATTTAATTTTTATTTTTTAACCAACAATGGAACCAAATTTTGTTCATGAGTATTTGATATTCTATAAATTATTTTAATTTAAAAAGTTTATTATTTTTTGCCAACGGTTTAGACGAATTTTGCTACTAAAACATTGAATTACCGATATTAATTATAATAATCTTTAAAAATATGTGTATATTTTTTTAAAGCCGTTTAAAATTAGTTGTTAATTTTTGCCAACAGGCAACAAGTTTTATAAGATCTCGCCAATAGGCAACCAGAGTTTCATAAGATTTAAAAAAAAAATAGAACAAAACTCGTTTTAAATGTGATAAAAAAAATGTGTTTTCTCAATAAGGGGATTTCATTTTTTTTTAGCCAACTGTTATACCAAATTTTGCTCAAAACAAAACTCGTTTTAAATGTCATAAAAAAAATGTGTGTTCTCAATAAAGAGATTTCATTTTTTTAGCCAACTGTGTTACCTAATTTTGATATAGATATTTTTTGGGCCAATAGGTGACCAGAATAATTGCGAGATTTACATATGACAAAGTGAGATGAGATCAGTCTATCTCACTTTATCTCATAATAAAATCTGGTCAGACTGTCTGGCTTATCTCATAATAAAATCGAGTCAAACTGTCTCTCTTTATTTCATAGTAAATTTCTGTTTCTGTTTTTCTTGAAAAATTTAAAGTGTATTAATGACAATATTAAAAGATTTAAATTTTTCGGTGCCACTTGTGCCACCAAATCGCGTCAATTACACAATTTTGCAATCTAGTCGCCGCTTTAAAAATTAAGAATTCAATTGTTCGCCTCGATTACGTCACCGTTGCCAACATAAAAGCTGATTTGTTTACAGAAATAAATCCCAAATGTCAAGAAACCGCACAACCTTGAACTTTTCACCCGTAATAATAAAATTCATATCCTTCATTCGCCATGAAAAATGCCAATTCTCGACTGATTTCAAACGCGTAATTTTTGATTATACGACGTGTCTAATGCTGTTTTTTTTCTTTTTTTTTACATTTGCTGCCCCTCCGGTGGCAACGCCTACCTCTTTGTGCCACGTTACATCCTCCTGTCATCTTTCTCTCTCGTAGACGGTCACGCCTGATGCTCTCTTTACACTATTTGGTATGTTTTCACACTTAATTATATCGAGCCGTCCGACGACTCTGTTCTTTTAACAAAATTAAAATCGAAAGTTAACCAAACAAGCTTTAACGTTTTAATCTCTTTTCGCCGCCCCCTTTTTTCAGTAGTTAAAATAACAGAGTTTCCGGAACGGTCTGTTGGGCAAAATTAACTGGCCACCAACAGGCCGGTCCTGATTTTTTAATCATTTTTACTCTTTCTGTTATATTTGTTTGATTTTTATACAGTTTTGTGTTCATTGTTTTGACCAAATTTCCTGTTTCGTTCGTTTCGTCGAAGCTTTTGCCTAGATTCGAGATTTTGTCTTTTTTTTCCTTGTTTTTATTGCATGTTTTGTGTTCAAATTATACAGGGTGTTCAGTCTAAACCCCACATTAGAAGTATTAGGAGTTGGAATAATCGTATTTATTTGAAAACTGGTACATAGCCATGAACCATTAAGTCCTCCTAAATGAAAATATTTTCAAGATGGCGGCACTTCCGGTTATACCGGAAGTCAGTCTCAACTTCCTTATTTTAAATGGAAAGGTATATTTTTTTTTGCGTTTTTGGATTAATCGGGTTATTTTAAGGGAGTTTTCATCAGCTTCAGCCGTTTTTGAAATATTTGGAGTTTTTCAAAAAATTTTGGATCTGCACCTTCTACTTTAAAAATCGGTAACTCTGCCATTTTTTAAGATTTTGAATTCGTTTTTTTGGCATTTAAAAAAGAAAGTTTAGATCTTTCTTCCGCTATTATCAAATTTTGAAAAAAAATTAACAAACCCTAAAATTTTAAGGTTACTTTTGAAATAATTCAAATACCCATAATTCAATTTTTCCGAATAAATTCCCCAACTTAGATTTAATGAATTTATTTTGTATTTATAGAAAGTGTAACAAAATTATGTCGTTCATTAAACAAAAATAAATTTTTCTCACTTATTAACTTTAAATATTGTTCGCATGGTAAAACCTATCAATAATAATTAAGTTTGCATAACTTTAATTCTCCATATTTTGGCACTATTTGTCAAATAATAAGTCACTGTCGACGTTTATTGAGAAACAATTTTGACATTTTTGATTTCCATAGCAAACTATGATGTGAAAACGGGTGTGGCTAGTAATAAATTTTCTGTAGTCTTAAAAAAAGTCCATAACTTGAAAATTATTAAATTTAGGTATAGGGAATGTTAATACAGATCAATGCACAATTAAATTCTCTTCTATTTAATAAAATAAATATTGGGGTATTTCATTTGAAAAAATTGAGTTATGAGTATTTGAATTATTACAAAAGTAACCTTAAAATTTTGGGATACGTTATTTTTTTTTCATAATTTGAAAAGACGAGAAAAAGGATCTAATCTTTCTCTTTCAAACGCCAAAAAAACGAATTCAAAATCTTAAAAAATGGCAGAGTTACCGATTTTTAAAATGGAAGGTGCAGATACAAAATTTTTTGAAAAACTTCAAATATTTTAGAAACGGCTAAATTTGTGTATAGGGAAAGCTGATGAAAACTCCCTTAAAATAACCCGATTAATCCAAAAACGCAGAAAAAAATATACCTTTCCATTTAAAATAAGGAAGTTGAGACCGATTTCCGGTATAACCGGAAGTGCCGCCATCTTGAAAATATTTTCATTTAGGAGGACTTAATGGTTTAAGGCTATGTACCAATTTTCAAATAAATACGATTATTCGAACACCCAATACTTTAATGTGGGATTTAGACGGAACAGCCTGTATTTATTCTGTCTCCCATTAGTCTAGTTAGTTGGAAATTTGTTAGAATTTTTTTTTACCAGGGGTGTATGGCGACGTGCAAAGGGTGAAAATCTTGTACAATAAGAAAGACTCGGCTTTGGTCCAGCTCGCGGAGCCTCATCAAGCACATTTGGGTAATTTTCAGTCGTTTAAAAGACGTTTCAGGTCTGAAAATTGCGTTTTTTCAGCTATAACGCACATGGATAAACTGAAAGTGTTCGGAAAAACAATCAGGGTAATGTTGAGTAAGCATCAATCGGTGCAAATGCCGAAAGAAGGTCAACCAGATGCCGGCCTAACGAAAGACTACAGTCAAAGTCCGTTGCATAGGTTTAAAAAGCCGGGATCGAAGAATTATCAGAATATTTATCCGCCCTCGTCGACGCTGCATCTTAGTAATATACCGGCGACGATCAACGAGGACGATATCAAAGAGGCTTTCACCAAGAACGGGTTTACAGTAAAGGCCTTCAAATTCTTCCCGTGAGTATTTCAAGTGCGTGGGCGGAGGAGGTGAACGCTATTTTTAAACGACGATGAGATTTCTAATCGCTTTCATCGAGGCAACAACAATGAAAAATTATTACACAAATAAATAAAAATCATGCTAATATTTTAGGCAAAATAGAGAAATTTTGTTTGACTAGATTCTTGAGAAATAAGGTAAAATCTGTGAAAATATTTGTTGAAAAAGAAAAAAAGGACTATTTTCAGAATTTGACAAGTCGAATTTAATACTATATGTACAGAAATTGGCTAAAATTTGAACCGAATTTTGATTTTTTTTTTATTAAAGTAATTTGCCTGAAATGAAAAACTTGACACTAGAATTTGATAAAATATTCTGCGGTTTCGGAAATTTATAAGAGATTAGAATTTCTGGACTTATTCAAAAATTTGAGAAATCAAATAAAAAATTTTGAAAATTAGCCAAAAATTTGAAAAAAAAAATGGTCAAAGAAAGTATTGGAGAAACTCAAAGTATTGGATTTTGGTAATAGAAACATTAATAAAGAGAATAATTAATAGGAAAAAAGTGAAACTTATTTTGATTTAAAAAGTAAAGATAACGTAAATCATTTTTTTACAAATAAATGTCTAACCTGACACGACTAGTAATAATTTTTACATTTTTTTTTAATAATAGAAAAGTAAATGAATATTATACACGGCGATAAAGATTGTTTATCAACGTCTTGTGCAATAAATAAGTATTTTTTGTCAACTGTGTTATCGAATTTTGATGGTAAAACATTGAGATGTCGTTTTTGATTATCATTTTTCGACCAATAGACAACTAGAATTTTATAAGATTTAAAAAAAAAAAAGAATAAAATTCGTGTTACATGTTATAAAAAGATATTTTTTCAATGAAAATATTTCACATTTTTTAGACAACTGTGTTACCAAATTTCGCTTATGAAGTTTTGAAATGTATTAACATTTCTATAATCAAACCTAGACAAAAAAAAATTGTTAACTACAAGATTTCTTATTTTTCGCCAACCATGTAACCATTATTTTCAAAATGGTGAATAAAACCACATTTTACATTGTCTACTGATAGTTGGATGAGAAAACTGATTTTTTTTTCTCAATAAAAAAAAGTTTTCTAGCCAACTGTGTTACCAAATTTTACTTATTAAAATTTAAAATCTTGATAACAGAGACGTTAAATGTTTTAATAACTAGAGGATTTTTTTATTTTTTGCCACCTCTGTAACCAAATATTGCCACTAAAACATTGGTATGTTGATAATAATGATAATAGGCAACAAGACTGATAAAATTTTCAAAAAAGAAGATAAAAAATTCGTTTTACATGTATTGAAGCGAGATAGAACGTAGTTTTGTTTTGTCTAAATTGGATAGTTGTATCAAAAAACTGTAATTTTTCTTAATAAAAAATATTTCGAATTTTTCAGCCAACGGTGTTACCAAATTTCCCTCACAAAATATTGAAATATTGATTATTATCAATAGTTTATATAATTTTTACGTCTATTGACTTAAAAATTATATAAACTGCAAGATTTTTTATTTCTACGAACTGTGTAACTAAATATGTATTGCTACAAAGGTGTTGGTAATAATGAAAATAATTTTTGTTTTTAAGTCTAGTTATGGTAATTTTTGATCATTTTTGACCAATAGGGAACCAAAGATTGTTAAGATTTTCAGAGAGGTAGAAAACTTGTTTTTGTAATGAAGCTAGAACGTATTTTTGTTTCGCCTTTCGTCTGTTTTTATTGGAAAAATTTTTTTAATTTATTTCAGCTAATTTTCTGAATAAATACAGGGTGATTTAAAAAAAAAAAACGGCTATCACTGGAGAATTTTTATTTATGACCCTATTTCAAAAATTAAAAAAATAAATGAAATGGCTTATAATTTAGTATATGCTGACGATTTTAAAATTTAAATGTAATAAATTTTGGTCCATATTCAACTTTCTAATTTTAAATTGGAACCCATATTTTTTTCTTCATAATTAAGGTATTAATTTTATTGATACAGGCATGTGTCGTTTAAAAAAGTTATCAAAGTTAAAAAAAAACATAATAAAAGTTATGGTGTCATTTTTTTAAAAAAAAAATGACAATAATAATTACTTATAATTTATTTTCTTTACTTTTAATAACGTCAATTTTTTATTGACATACAACTAAACTATGATTTTTTTTTAACTTTGATAATTTATTATTTGATAAATAAAAATTCTACAACATTTGGCCAACTGTGTTACCAAATTTTGCTCATAAAGTACTGAAATGTTGATAATAGAGGCGGAAAAATTACATATTTGAAACGAGGGGTTTTTAATTTTTTGCAAACTGTTACCAAATCTTGCTTCTAAAACAATGAGGTAATAAAAATGTAGAAAAATATTTTTTTTAATTAAAAAGGAATGTAACCCCTAATCTTACTCATTTTATCATAAGGAATTTATAAAAAAAAATAAAAGTCTAACTTAGCCTCCTAAATCTAAAACAATGAGATTATAAAAAAAAGGATTTGAAATTTGTCAAATTTAAAAGTGGTGATTTGTGTTACAGCAAAGACAAGAAGATGGCGCTGATCCAACTACCGAGCATGGAGGAGGCCGTGGAAGCCCTGATCCGGATGCACAACTACCAACTTTCCGAATCGAATCACTTGCGAGTCTCCTTTTCGAAATCGAGTATATAATCCAACGTTTAAAAAAAAAAACAAACAAACAAACAAAAGAGAACTCCGATTGCACAGTACAGTATTCATTCCATTCGTCGTAGCGACGAAATTAGCTAATATATTATATAATTGCAGCGCTTATTTATTGAATAGACTGTTTCTGGCAGGTTAAGCTTTGATTATATCGACAAATCAGTATGACGTTAGTATTTTTTTAAAGAGATGTTAGTTATTAAGTTGTATTTTCTAAGTATTGTTAAATGGAACAGAAGGAGTATTTTTTTTATTTTATGACTTATACGATGATAACGATGATGATATTTAGTTGTGTTGCGTTCAGTATTGGATGGCTTTAAAATTCTTACAACAAAACGAGAGAAACATAGGTGATTATGTGGATCAAGTCGCCGCGATGTTATTTTTTGTAAGTTTATAGAGAGTGTTAGTGTTAAGGGCGGGTTGTTCACCGACCACGGCCTACTAGTATTAATTGGCTAGTATTGTTAGGACGTCGCGGACAAATTAGCGTATCGTAGTTTTAGCCAGTGATTAGTTTAGGGTAAACCACAGGGTGTAGATGTACCCTAGAGATATGGATGTGTTGTCTTGTAGATCCAAGAAAACGATTCATATTTTATCACGCCGAGGTCCGGCAATCGTGTCCTTACTTACATGAATGAATCTCTTTATTTTTTCTAAGACACGCTCGCCAGATCTCCGGTTTATTAATTATAACGGTATATATTTCTCTCTTTATCTTATAAACTATACACTTGACAATCATAGATCATTACTATTAGAAGAATCAAGACGCGTGATTTCGCTGTCTCTTTCATCCAATCAAAAAGGGACATATCGCTGGATGTTATTTGCCAAATTCAAAGTCAATATCTACAATACTTGTGACTAAATGTCTATTTTTTTAAGTGCGCACAAACTTAGTTCGAGTCGCTTCTCAGGATTTTCTTTCATTTTTTCAGTTTTGTTCAGTGTGTGTTATTTTTTTTCTGTTTGATAATTAAACTTTTTCTTTGTATTTGCCCGTTTATTTCCATTTGCCCCGAGTTTCTTCCATAAATTGTGAGCCAGATTTGAGGCGTTCAAGTCTGGTCGCGAGACTCAGAGTCTCAGTTTTGTGATTGATATTTATGAGCGTGGACTGGCACACGCCATAATGGAACAAAGATGGCATCGTGCCTGACCGTGGGATCAACTAAACAAATCATGAATAAATATCTATTTAACAATTGCATTCAACATGAATATCGGCATAGCTGCGTATATCTATCTATCCACATATACTCTACTATTTACATACTAGATTACTTTTAGATTAACGTAGTTGGTAAAGTTAGCTTAAACTATGGGCACAATTTGGATTTTTATCAATCAAATACAGTTACGGATTTCTATTTTGCACCGTTTCAAGGCGGCCGAGACACGATTCGAGAACTTTTGGCTGAGATTCCAGCAGTATTAAGGACGGCCAGTTCGAATTTCTTGCTTTTATTTATTACATTCTGATCGCTTGCGTTCAGTGTTTCAGACATTTTCAGTTTGTACATCTGTATCATGTATTCGAGTACTATCTATATCAAACGTATATTATGATTCTGAAAATTTTAGATTTATTCTTTGTCATTTTACAATAAAAATGTTTAAATACGAGTTACGACGCTTTTCATTACATCCCAATTTTGTTACCTAACTTGGACTCCTAACACCAAATTTTGCTCATTTTTTGTTGCAAGTAGGTTGTTAAATACAGTGTTCGCGGATTACGAGCAAATATTCTAAGCACTAAGAGAAACAACCTTTCGATTTTCCACTTTTGCCGAAAACACGTCATTTCTGAGTCAAAATAACGCATTTAACGTCCAAAAAATTTTCCTACATTTTTTAGTGATAATTAAAAGG